GAAAACTAGCTTTACTTTGTTGTCTGGGTCAACTTTGCTAGCAGAGACAGAGAGAGGCGTTGAAAGGCTGCTCCAACAGAACTTAAATACAATTAATTCTGAAGCGGACAGGGAGCCAATGAAGGGAGGCAAGTACCGGGAAAATGTGTTCACATCTTTTAGTACGTGTACGTGATACATGCACCATATAAACTGATCATCAATAAGTATGAACGCTTCTATAAAAGCAGAAGCTTTTGCAGGTTTGCATTCAGGCGTGTGTTAGTATAGAAATACAGGCAAAGATCATGAATCTCTGCTGCTTTCTACACAGAAGCCACCTCGACAAAGATCATCAGGAGTGGACGTCACTGCAAAAACACTCCGACTCTACACGTCTACACGATCATGCGATTAGAAAAAGACTGAAGAAGAAGAGCTCGTGTGGAAGAGTCGCCCAAAGAACAGCAGCATGGATCAGCTCTGCTGTGCAGGTCCATACTGGAACCACTCAGCTGATGGCTGCAGCAGCGTCGTGTGTGGGGCCAGTTCAGCTCCAGGAACTTAAAACTACAGAGTCCCATTTGTTCAAACTGTAGAGCATTTAAAGGTTACCATACAGAGGTCTCTGTTAGATATCCAGCGTACATGAAGCTTTAAAAAATAAAAGTACAACAATATTTCATAGATAAATAAACAATAACGTGTGTAAATGTTTCTCAGCATTATTATTATTTTCAGTTTGTTTTTAATGGTACTTGAATATTTTGAAATGCTGGTAATGACTTTTTTTAGGATTTCTATTTCCTGTGTGACAATTAAACACTAAGACCGAGAAGTGTAATGTTGTGTATTCATCATGAAGGTGCAGTTATAAAGTATGAGTGTGGGATCAGACAGGGTGTGTTTCTATTGGAGGGTGCACCAGCACTTTAAGCTAACACGCTGGCGTCTGTTGGCCACTCTTACCGAGGCGCTCTCCACACGTGCTTCTGCATTTGGGCTTCGTTTAGATATTGTTTCAGGTTTATTTAGTTTAAACCTCGATAAAGACTCGATCACATTTATGTCCTGACATGTGAAACCTTAGAGATGACCAGTGTTGGGAAGGTTACTTTTCAAATGTATCCCACTACAGATTACAGATTACATGCCCCAAAATGTATTCTGTAATGTATTCTGAATACTTTGGATTACTTATTATATTATCATGCTGTTTACAACTACATGAATGTGATTTATTACTGTTACTGAAGGTCACTCTCCACACCAACACAGCTAGATGTTAAATCTTAATATAAATGAGTA